GTGTAGATCTTGTTTGTTGTGTAGAGAAGAACCTTGTTGAGGTGTAGATCTTGTTTGATGTGTAGAGAAGAACCTCCAAGCTTGAGTGCTGAAGGTGAATCTTGAGTCTTGATTAGAAGAAAGTCAAAGGTTGATGTTGAGGTCTTAAAACTTAAAATGCACTAGTCCAAAGGAGGTACATGATGGACTTGAAGAGCAACCATTGATAATAATCTAGTAGAAAGACTATGAAGCACAAGCTTTTCTAGAGTTGGAGAACATGGCTATGAGCTTGGGTTGGGAGAGGTTGATAATGAGTGGAGCCTTGGGAGTTGGGCATGAGAAGGAGGACTTTGAAGTGGCCTTGTGAGAGCTTGGAGTAGAACTTGTGGAGAGCTTGGGTAAAAACTTGCTTGAAAAAATATGAGTAAAGAATGGGGTGGACCATTTTTTTGTATTTGGTGGAGCTTGAGGTTGGATGAAGGAGGAAAAGATGAGTGATTCTGATTGGATAAGATGGTGGGGATGAATGTGGCCTTGAAGTGAAGGCTTGGTGAGGAGAATGAATGTGTCCTTGATTTTAAGGCTTGGTGAATGGGATGAACTTGGCTTTGATTTTAAGGCTTGGTGAGTGGAATGAATGGGGCTTGAATTTGAAGGCTTTGTATGGAATCTTTTGTTTGGTGAGTGGATGAAGGGATTAGAAAGATGATGAGGATAGGAGGGGAGATTAGGTGGAGGAATGATAGGTTTTGATAGGTGAAAAGGTGATGATGCTTTGCTGTCTGGAGATATAAAGGGTGTGGTGGCGAGTGGGCATTTTTGCAAGATGCCTTTTGTGTGCACTGCGTACATGAGGCTACCAACAATGCTTTGATAGAGGTTAATCTCGAGGGGGGAAAGGGGTGATGAATGAGCTGTGGTGGAAGGAGAAGTGGATGAAGAGGATGAAGGCGCAAGAGCCCGGTGAAACTCGTCCCAGTCAGATAGTGCTTCGGACTGAGAGGGCTGAAGGTCAGAGGTGGAAGGAGAAGAATGCTGAAAATTAGAAGGGAGAGGTGTAGATGCAGGATTGCAGGTGAGAAGGCCGAAGCGAGAGAGGATCTTGTGAATGTATCGCTCTTGGGAAAGAAAGAGAGAGCGAGAGGAACGGTCATGAATGATGTTCATGCCAAGGTAATATGATGGCTCACCCATGTCTGTCATGACAAACTTCTTGATGAGCATACCTTTGATGTGGGTGAGAAGGGTGAGGGAAATTGACACCATGAGAATGTTATCCACATACACAATCAGCCACAATACCTCATGCACCTTCGTGTGCAGGATGTAGAGTGCAGGGTCGTACTCAGACTGTGCGAAACATTGTGCAAGCAGGGCGGACTCCAATGCGTGATACCAAACCCGTGGAGCTTGTTTCAGGCCATACAAGGACTTGTGCAGCATGCAGATTCCCTCAGTACCATCGTGATACCCATCAAGTTGAGCCATGAAGATTTCCTCCTCCAAAATGCCGTAAAGAAAGGCGTTGGAGACGTCCAGCTAAATGATGTAGAGATTCATCCGTACTGCCACAAGAAAGATTCCATTCATTCAAATACACTGAGTTTTGCATTTGTGTCATCCTCTTGTCTCCATGCCTTCACCGACAACCCCAAGATTTGGTTTCTGGACAGTGGATGTGATCAACATATGACTCCTCATGTTTCCCTTCTTCACATCCCTGCCCGACCACGAGGGGATTAGTAACGGAGGGGCCGTCACTCTCCTTGTTACCAATCCCCTCGTGGTCGGGCAGGCCAGCGCTCACCCCGAGCGCAATCCCCCACGCAACACTCTCCGCGGCGATCTCCGGCAACGCAGGGGAGGGGGTCGCCTGGGCGTCGCTGGGATTTGGGTCGCCGCGAGCAGTCCCCTCCGCGTCCACACTCGGCTGGTTTCGGAGGCCGTCGGGGCCGGCCAAATGGCGGTGGTCGTGGCGGTAATGGTCGCGGGCAGGATCCTGCCCTCGATCGTGCCACGAATGCCTTTGCGGAAGTGGTGCGGCAGGCGTGCGCGAGTGGGGAGCCGACTCACATACACATTGCCGTGACCAACGGTCCTCCCTTCGCCGCGGACCCTGGCCAGGTGGCTCCTCTGCGCGCGCCGACGCTGCGCGAATATCTGCCCGCATGAGAAGGGAGGGCGCAGTTTCGCACCCCTCGTCAGGTCCCGGGCTTCTCCGCGCAGCGCTGGGAGTCCGGCCAACATAGAAGCCCAGGACCTCCTCCCAGATTCCACAGCGGCCTCCTTCCGAAGAGAATCTGTAGTCGCAGCGTCGTGGCATAGGTAAGGGCAGGTCCACGCGGAAGGAGGCCGCTGTGGAAAAATGAGAGGGCCTGAGGCGGAGGGAGGAGATAAGGGGCACGGCAAGCAGCCAGTCCCCCACGCCCAGGCCTAAGAGGGATTGCATCCGCTGCGTATGTCTGGACAGCGGGTTCGGCTCCATGTTCCGTGAGATGTCCAGCAGCTGGATGAACCGTGCAGATTGAACTGCGAGGGAGAGCACCTGTTGAAGCTTCGGCCCGTCAGGCTTTTGTCTCCCCACCTGGAGAGCCTCAATCCTGTCAGGAGGCAGCTCAGCTTCCAGAGCAGCAAGGCGTCTTGGAAGGAGGGAGGTGGAATCTCCGTCAGCATCCATCAGCGGCAGAAGACGCGTAAGAGCCGGGTTCGCAGAGTCACCAAAGGAGCGCAACAGATGGGCAGCAGAGACGACAGAGGCCAGGTAAGCGTATCCCCCTTCAACAGCAAGGCTGGTGATGCCGAGGCCTCCTAGAGACGCTGGCAGGGCGGCCTGATGCCAGATCCTTTCCCTCTCGGCCCGGTCTCTAGGGATCGTCGTGTGTGCTGTGGCAAGGTAGGTGTGGAACAGTTCTTCCCCCCACGCGGACCACTCCCCCAACTGCAGGGCCTCGAGCGGAGTGGCTCTGACCAGAAACGATGCGCGGCGACTCACACAGCGAGTGAGTAGAAGCAGGCAAAGTTGCGGATCCATCTGGGAGAGGATCGGGAGCGGTTCAGCTGCAGCAGAGAGGCGTTCCCTCACACGAGCTGCACAGCCAGTGGCGGGCCCAACAGCTGCCTAAAACGCGGACACCGTCCCGGGAGATTGTGACACCAGGGGGCAAGGTGGCGGACCATGCTTCGCACTTCACGGGGTCGTGGGCCAAGCCGTGGCTGCGGAGGGCCTCTGTGAGGTGAGTGAAGGATACCGTGCAGTTCGCGGTCTCGCCCAGCAGAGTGATGTTGTCTGCATACGCGAGCAGCACCACTCCCGGATGAGCCGCTGCCGTTGCAACGAGACAGAGATGGATGCTGGCTGCAAACAGCATTGGTCCCAGCGGATCGCCCTGGCACACTCCTCGAGCGCTTTGCGAAGGTTTTGCATCAAAATTGTGGTCTTGGTAGAGAGTGGATGAGCGACCGTATGAGAGGCGGATGAGAGGCACCAGGGTGTCGAGTTTCGTGCCCTTCGGACCTTCGAACACCGCCGCGCGCTCCACCGCGTTGAAGGCGTTTGCCAGGTCAATCTGAAGGGCCGTTGCTCCGGGGAATTCTTCCAGGTAAGTGCGTGCCGCATGTATTGCAGCTTCAATGCCTCCAGCGATCGCAACCCCAAATTGGAGTGGATGAAGTGATCGCGCGCCGCAGGAGCTGCCAGGAATGGAGCTGCTTTTGCAATGATCGGCAGCAGACATTCACCCACGGCTATCGGTCTCGTTCCGCCCTGCGGTTCCGAGAATGCAAGTAAGCGCGATGCTGTGAGGAGGTATGCTGCATCTACGTTCAGTTTTCCAGCTAACGCCGTGTTGATAAGTGCGTGTAGCTGCAAGAAGATGTCGGTGTTCCCGAGGGCCGCATCTCTTAGGTGCTCAAAGGTAGTTCCTGAAGGTCCGGCACCTACACCGTTAGGGCATCAAGCAAGCAGCCGCCTGAAGTCTCGAGCTGCGATTGTGGGCAAAGTCTCTGAGGCGAAGCCGTGCACCCAGTTCGGGATAGCAAGGGTGGCCCCTGGGTGCCTGGATGAAAGTGTGCTCAATACTTCAGCGCTTGGCGTGCTGACAAGCGTGGCTGTCAGCGATTGGAGCGACTTTGCCAGATTTCCTCTTTTGGCCAATCCCTCGGCCCTCGCCAGCTTTCCAGTGATGTCAGGTACGTGGCGTGGTTGAGGGTTGTTGGTAACTGCGTGTGCCGCCTCGTCATACAAGCCCCGCCACAGGCCCTGGTGAAATCGCGTCAGTCTGTCGCCCATCGCTTTCCAGACTCGTTTTCGTGTTGACGACGTGCGTAGCAAAATACGCGGGAGAAAAATCAGCAGCTTCCACCCAGGTGAGGAATCAGGGTTTTTAGCGATGTGTACCAGAGGAGTCAGCAGACAAATGGTGAAGGATTAGCGAAGTGGGCGAGGTGGGTGGCGGGTGAGGGGGGGCTATCTGCTGTCGCGCATTGGGCCGAGGTCCCAGTCGGCGATGTCAGCGAAGGGGTCCTGGCGGCCTGCCAGGACGTCAGCATTGATGATTGGGGCCAAAGGTGGAGGGGTTGTGTCATTGGCTGGTGCGATGGTAACCGCATTGTTGCTGGTGGCTCGGTTCCCTCACGCGGTCCGATTTCGGGGGTTTAGAATTGCAGATGCGGCTCGGCTCGGGGTTGGATTTTGGCCCACTCCTTGGGCAAGGACAACTTCCTCCTCCTCTGTCGATGGACTCGAACTCCCCTCCCTTTCGGGGATAAAAGTAGGGTCACCCCCCTCGCCATTCTCATATTCGATTCCAACTGTCTCATCACCTTCCCGAGCCCTCCGCCGTAGCACCCGCTCTGCAGCTCTAGCGAAGCCCCTAGCGCCCCGCCTTTGCGACGAGGCACCGCGCCCTCGTCCGCGGCGGCTATTGCCGCGGCCCACATGGATTCCCCGCGTATTCCTTTCTCTGGTCGCTCCAGTGCGCCATCCGGCACTGGAGGGTACGGCAGTGGTATCTGTGGTAATGGACCCATCCGCGGGTCGTGATCCGGCAATGGAGGGTACGGCGGAGAGCGCGCAACCTGAGCAGGAGCTTGCCACGCCTCGACTGCACTCTTCTGCACGCCCCTCCGCAAGTGAGCCCGTCCGCCGCTTCGAGCGCGGGGTGTCTCTGCCTCTTCGGGGTGTCCCTCAGCCCCTCTTGCCAGAGTATTCGTGGGCCCCTGCTTGGGTTGCATCCAACCGCCCTGCAGGTCAGCCTCGCCAGGAGCACGGGCGTTCACCACCGCGTCAGCCACCGCGGCAGCAATCACCTCGCCGTCGCTCCCCAGAGCATCGCGGCGGTCGCCGCCATGGGGCTGGCGATCATCTGTCTCAAGCGAATCCTCGCTCTCCTCGTCACGAATCCCCCCGAGGTTGGGGAGCCCAGCGCTCACCGTGAGCGCGATCCCCTGCGCAGCGCTCTCCGCGTCGATCTCCAGCGAGGCGGGGAAGGGGGAAGGGGTCGCCTGGGCGCCGCTGGGATTCTGGGCGCCGCGAACAATCCCCCGGGCGTCCGCACTCGGCTGGTTCTGGCGGCCGCCAAGGTCGGCGGAATGGTTCAGGACGGGGCGAGGACAGTCCCCGTCGTGATCCAGCCGTAGACCAGGCCGTGAATGTGATGGCGGCGGCGGTTCGTCAGGCGCGGGCGAGCGGGGAGCGGACGCACGTTCATATTGCCGTAACCAATGGCTCCCCCCCTTGCCTCGGACACTGGCCTAGCGGCTCCGCTACGCGCGCCAACTTTGCGCGAGTATCAGCCCGTGCGGGAGGCGAGGGCCCTGTTCCGCACCGCTTGGCACGCCGGCGGCGTTTCCACACTCAGCAGTTCTCATTTGGCGGAGCCCTTGGCCGGCCGGCAGCATTTTCGCGCGAAGATCCGATTGTACCTCCCCCCACTCGCGCGGGGAGAGACCCCATGCTGACCATGTGCCGGATGCTGAATCTGGCGGAGGCGTGCGAGGGGGTGCCGAGCTTGCAGATGGTGTTGTGTGGGGCCATGCGAGATTCTCCGGGCAGTTATGCTCTAGGATCCCGAGGATCCTGCGTGTCTTGAGCAGAATCTCTCGTCCAGCATTTGGAGCCCGTATCGGTAGCGCCCGCAGGGGTGGCGCCCTTAGCGCGTACCTTTCCCCGCCACGTGGACGATCTTGTTGCAGCTGCGGGTGCTGGGACGCCGGTGGAGACCCTTCACACGTTGGCAGCTCCTCCTCACGGTATCGGCGTGCATGCACTCGATGCTTGAGATGGAGGGGGCGGAGCCGTACACGATGTAGGCTTCCGCCGCGTGTAGTACTGCATGCCTTCTCCTCTTGTTTTTGCCCTTCTCCCTTGCTTGGATTGTGTGTGCGCTTCTTTATAAGCCGATCCTTTGTTTGTAGTCTTGCCACCAGGAGCGCGCGGCCAAAGGTCGCCGGCGCGAGCCGCCGAAAATGAAACACACACAAAATAATTAGGCAGAGAAGGCACAGAGGGGCCTCAAATAGGCTTAGAGGAAGAGGGCAGAGGGAAGAGGAAGAGGGTTGAGTGCTAGAGCCTTCCTCTCTCTCTCTCTCTCTATCTCTCTCTCTCTCTCTCTCTCTCTCTCTCTCTCTCTCTCTCTCTCTCTCTCTCGCTCTCTCTTGCCTAAAATGAAACACACACAAAATAATGAGGCAGAGAAGGCACAGGGGGGCCTTAAATAGGCTTAGAGGAAGAGGGCAGAGGGAAGAGGAAGATGGCTGAGTGCTAGAGCCTTCCTCTCTCTCTCTCTCTCTCTCTCTCTCTCTCTCTCTCTCTCTCTCTCTCTCTCTCTCTCTCTCTCTCTCTCTCTCTCTAATGGTCCGTATATTGATAAGCCAGAAGGGTACACACATGCAATGAGCAACAGCAAGGTGCTAACATGCAAGGGAGTCTAGACTAGCCAAATCCTTTAAGTCATCTGGAGCTCAAGAAGAGGCTCTAGGACCGTAAAACGGTTCCCCAGGTATAATTCTTGCCCTATCCCCCCTACAGGCGGGTTCTTTGCAGCAGCCGCCTCCCCTAATTTGATCATGAGACCCACGGATTGGGCTCTCTGCAGCGCAACCGACCACCTCTGCCTGAATTGGTGCAGGAACTTTGCGGCGTGAAATGATTTGGAGTCGGCGTTGAAGTATCGCCGAGCCGCCGTGTCTGCAAGGTATTTTAGGAACACAGGAACTTCGGCGCATGGGCAGTTGTAGGTCTCGACTTCAAGTGGGAAGAATCCAACTGTCTCTGGCCGGTTCGCATAATGCTTTATCTTCTTGTCTGCCTGCTCCCGGGCCGCCCATCCCCTGCCTTTCCGCGCCTCTGGGTCCCTAGTACTAATAGGGTCCATGACCGTCACATCACATACCCAAACCGCCCCACTAGTTCTGTCCGTCATTGTAAAGTCTGCTGTCTGCTCCTCAATGGGGCAATGGACGTTGGTTTCCGTGTGAACTATGAACCCTGCGTCTTGCGCCATGCTGATGCATGCGTCACGCAGTTCGTTATGAGTATTCCTACGGTGTTTTTCCTTGCCGCAGCGGAAGAGGTGGTTGGGGAGGCGCGGGTCTGTGATAGCGGTGTGTTCTGCACAATCGCAATTCTTCGGAGTAGAGAAAGGGAGGCCCAGCCGGAAGCGCACGGCATTGCTGAAGTGTACCGGGCCTTTACGTCTTGACGATGCTACCGGTATTGCCGTCAGCCAGTCCCCAGTGTCGTAGCCTGTGAGTGAGAACATTCTCTGTGTGTGCTCGTAGAGCGGATTCAGCTTCATTCGCCTCGTTTCCTGTACCTGTACCGCATACCTACTACCCTGGACTTTGAGGGCTAGTGTGTGCTGGAGCTTAATGTCCGACCGAGAGAGCTGCTCCTTCTCGAGTATTTCGCGTGCGTCAGTGGGAATGGCTGTCTCGCACTCCGTGAGCTAGGAATGAAGCGGGGTGGTGACATCACGGGGCCGAATCATGTGGCTGTGTACTCGGGTCAGGGCGGTGTCCGGTGCTAGCGTGAGTGAGGAAAAGAACAGTGCTGCCTGTGTGAAGCTGGCTATGAAACCGTAGACCCCCTCTACAAGTGGGTATGTGATTCCCAACCCGCCTACGGATGAAGGAAGTGATGCCTGCACCTGCACTCTTGACTGCTCCACGCTACAGGTAGGAACTCTAATCCCGCATGATGTCAAGAGCGCGGCTAGGAGGTCTCTTCCCCACTGTGCCCAGGTGTCTCGTGGAAGGAAGTTCAGCGGTGTGGTTCTAGTGAGGTAGGCTACTCGTCTAGAAATGCAGCGGGTCAAGAGCAGGGAGGCTACTTGGGGGTCGACCCGTTCTAAGTTTCCAGTTTCTTGGAGATCCTCCTCATTTCGGTCCTCCTCATTAGCCCGTTCTAGAGCTGTTAAAGCCCGTCTCCCTGCCGCCTAGAAGCCATTCTCCGGTCCACCTCCGTCACCGCTAGCTGCTGAGAAAGTACGAACGAGAAGTGAAATGACTATGAACGTAGTGGGTACAAATAGGAAACCCTGTCAGAACATATCTATAGCTTATACTGCTGTGTAGGCTGTAGTGGGGTATCCCATAGGGGATACAACCCAGTTAGGGTTTCATATTTGTACTGCTTTCATTCATAGTTCATTCATTCCTGCTTACTCATTTCACATGGTATAGAGCGGGTTCCCTGTGGAACTCTGCCTAGGGCCCACCGAAGCGCGCCCCGAGGCGCGCTCAACTTTTTTTTCCGCTATCGAGCGACCCTCCGTGTCGCCTCCCTCCCACACGCGGCCCAGCCGCCCGCTAAGTCGCGGCCCCAGCCGCCCGCTACGATCGCGGCCCCAGCCGCCTGCTCGACGCGGCCCCCCCAGCCGCCTGCTCGACGCGGCCCCCAGCCGCCTGCTCGACGCGGCCCTGCCGCCCGCTACGCCGCGGCTGCCGCCTACTACGACCGCGGCCCCGGCCGCCTGCTACGACCGCGGCCCCCAGCCGCCTGTTCGACCGCGGCCCCGCCGCCCGCATCCTGTCGCGGCCCCCAGCCGCCTACTCGACGCGGCCCCCAGCCGCCTGCTTGACGCGGCCCTGCCGCCCGCTACGCCGCGGCCGCCGCCTGCTACGACCGCGGCCCCGGCCGCCTGCTACGACCGCGGCCCCAGCCGCCTGTTCGACCGCGGCCCCGCCGCCCGCTCCTGTCGCGGCCCCCAGCCGCCTGCTCGACGCAGCCCCCGGCCGCCTGCTCGACGCGGCCCTGCCGCCCACTACGCCGCGGCCGCCGCCCACTACGATCGCGGCCCCGGCCGCCTGCTACGACCGCGGCCCAAGCCGCCTGTTCGACCGCGGCCCCGCCGCCCGCTCCTATCGCGGCCCCGGCTGCCTGCTCGCACGGCCTCGCCGCCCGCTACTACCGCGGCCCCGGCCGCCTGCTCGACCGCGGCCCCCCCCCCCCCCCCCCCCCCCCCCCCTACTACCGGGAGCCGAGCCGCCCTGCAGCCGAGCCGCCCGGGAGCCGAGCCGCCCTGCACCCGAGCCGCCCTGTCGCCGAGCCGCCCAGGAGCCGAGCCGCCCTGCCCCCGAGCTGCCCTACCGCCGAGCCGCCCGGGAGCCGAGCCGCCCTGCACCCGAGCCGCCAGGTCGCTGAGCCGCCTTTCTGCATACCTACTCGACCTGCCCTGCCTGGTGAGCACAGTCCCACTGCCACTGCGAGCTCTTTCCCTACTGCTTGCACTGCGTCGCTGTCGTCGCCATGGCTACCCCTAGTGTCCTAGCTTTTGACGCTGAGGGTCGCGCCATTGATTTTGAGGTCTGGTTAGACGACCTGCAGCTGTTCTTACAGTGCGACAGGGCTGACGACCTTTCTCTCTTTGACCTCACCTCTGGCGCCTCTCCTGCTCCTGCTGCTGATGCTGATCCCGCTGTCCGCTCTAAGTGGGCCACCCGCGATGCTGCTGCACGTCTTGCTGTGCGTCGCCACCTCCCTACCTCTGAGCGTGCGCACTTTAGTCAGTACAAGAGTGCTCAGACCTTGTACGACGCTGTAGTTGCGCGCTACTCCTCCCCTGCCACTGCTGCACTGAGCCGTCTCATGCTTCCCTACCTCTTTCCTGACCTCTCTGCCTTTCCCACTGTCGCTGACCTCATTACGCACCTCCGCACTAGTGACACTCCCTACCGCGCCGCCCTTCCTGCTGAGTTCTGCGCTAAGAACCCCCCCCCCATGTACATCGCTCTCTACTACGTAGTCGCACGCCTCCCTGACTCCCTTCGCGTCGTCAGGGACCACTTTCTCGCAGTCTGTCCCACCACTCTCACCGTCGACCTCCTCGAGAAGGCCCTCCTTGCAGCGGAGAAGAGCATAGTCGCTGTAGGTGCTTCTCGTGGTGACCCTCGCACCCCCATCTTTGAGGGGTGCTCTCCTTCCCCCTTGCTGCCCTCTGTTGCCTCTGCTGCTGCTGCCGACCTGCTTGGTCTTGAGTCGGTCGGCGCGGCGTCTGCCCCTAGTGGGAGACGTCGCTCCAGCAAGGGCAAGGGGGGCAAGGGCGCGGGTGGAGCTGGAGGGGGCGGTGGCGGTGGCGGCGGTGGCGGCGGAGGGAGTGGGGGTGGCGGCGGGGCTAGTGGCGGGGGTGGTGGTGGTGGTGGCGGCAGCAGCGGCGGAGACGGTGGTGGTGGTGCCAGCGGTGGTGGTGGAGGCAGCGGCGGAGGTGGAGGCGGCGGAGGTGGAGGCAGTGGAGGCGGCAGCGGAGGAGGCAGTAGTGGTGGAGGAGGTGGAGCTGGTCGGGGTGGTACCCAGCAGCGTAGCGGCGGTGGTGGTGGCCAGCGCTCGCACCGGCAGCAGCAGCAGCGCTCGCGGGACATCCCTTCGCCTCAGCAGCTTCGTGAGTGGTACGCTGGGCGTCAGAGGGGTGGGGGTACTGGTCCCTGCACCTACGTTCTTCGTTCCGGCGACCGCGCGGGTGAGCAGTGTGGGGGTGCCCACGCCACCCAGCGCTGCTTTGGCCGCCTGACGGACGCTTGGCGTCAGCAGTTCCCTGGGGCTAGTGAGATCCCTCGCTGGGATGAGCTTCTCAGGGCTGGTGTAGCGATCTTTGATCTTGATTTTGATGCTATCCTTACTGCTATGTATGTTGTGGATTATAGTGAGGAGAATGAGGGTTACCGGTGTTTTCAGCCCGACCCGGGCATTGGTACTGCTGCGCTAGGTGCTTGTGAGGCTGCTGCTCTAGGTGCCAGTGCGTCTGCGCTCTCAGGTACTGGTGAGACTGCGCTCTCAGGTACT